CGTCTTGGACTCCAGAATCTTCTTCTTCTTCTTCGCATTTCAAACTTATTGCTTATGGCAAATTAGCTTATTGCGTGCCCACCACTTAGTGTTCTAGGTGCACTTCCACAGTTATTAATTGAGAGCTTTCGATGCCTGCTACCATTTCTGCATTAGTATAATTGTGTGGCAAGTACAATCATACTCTATGCCCAGGGAGTCGAGAAATTTTCCAACCCGAAAAATTCCTAGACCGGACCGGGAATCGAACCCAGTCACCTCCAGCATGGTCTTGCTTTGTAGCTGCGCCTTTACCGACTGAGCTAAGGGAGGCCCCAGAATGGCCTCGTTAATTTAATTTTCGTTTAATATAAAATAATATATTATTACTACATATAATCCGGATGCCATCCCTATCGGCAACCGATATTGTACGGATACTATATTTTGATGCCTGCGTCGTCAGGTCGTGACAAGTCGAATGAGCCCCGAATTGAAGTGAAAGTGGAAAAAAACGACGGAAGCAGTTTTCGAGTCATTCATTGCGTCAATTGAAACAAGTCTTTGCTTCAAATGAAATGAACTGAAGCACTTGACGAACAAAACAAGTGATCAGTCCAGTCATGTTTGAAAAGAGGAATGTTCATCGTGACTCGATAACAAGAAACACGATGAATTACACGAAAATGATATTGCTCGAAATGAAGCGATTCTGCGGAGACATCATATTCTTTTCTTTGTTTCGAAAATGCAGAACCCTGGTCTGTATCGTTGGATGCTTTATGTGTTTGAATTTGCTGCTCGTGAGTATGTAATGAGCCGAGATCAGCATTTTATCTATCCAAGAACAGCTCAAGTTATAAGGAAGGACTTCGCTTCACGAAGGAAAAAAAGCTTGAGTTTATTTTAATTTAATTTTTTAAACTATTTTATTTTTCAAATAAATGCTCTTCGTATAAAGAAGGAGTCAACTTAAAGAGAAAAATAATTTGTGTGAAATATTCACAAATTAGTTTTCTCTTTAAGAATTGAATTTTTCATAAAAATAATTGTCAAAAAACAGCTCATGCTGGAGTTAAATCCAAGAAACATGTTACTTTTGAGAATTTTCAGATAGAATTTTCAAAAGCTTTTATCTGTCAAAGAACAGCTCAAGATTCAAAGAAGCAGTCAACTCCAAGAGCAACACAATTTATGAGTATTTTATGATAGAGTTTTTAAAAGCATTTATAATATAAAGAACAACTTAAAGTATAAAGAAGAAGTCAACCCAAAGCAAGAAATGAGTTGACAACCCCTTAGGATACGGTTGTGATTTATGTTTGCTCTCTGTTTTGTGCGTGCGTTCGCTTTTATAGTTTTCGGCTGCATTTTCCGACAGGACTTCAACGCCTGTCATCTGTGAACAACTCGAGTGAAGCCAAATTTCTCTGGTGCTCTGGTGCTAATTTGACAACTCCTCCTTTTCCTCTATGATTAAGCTTGGTACATGTCACGCCGCGTTTCGTAAAAAAAGATAGTTTTTCAGATATCGTTATAGGAAAGCATGATTCACGCAAATTGTGCTCGTCAATTCGAAAACAACTAAATCGTTTTTAAATTGTCCATTGCGGGAAAGTAAGAATGGGTTTGAAGGTTGGAGCTTAAATGTGTTATGGATCAGCAGCGATGCTGATGTTTTCGGCAGTTTCAAGAACTGGATCGCATTTCAGGGGGTTGCATTTACTGGATTAGCGCTGTCACTCTACCTCCCAGATGGTTTTACGTGTGTGATTGGTAGTTTTCTCGCTTTCCGGAAAGTTTTAGAATTTAGAAAGAAAACGCGATTCATCATGTATGTTTTCAAGCATAAGAAGAGATGTCGCTATCTGCAATGTTTGATTTTTTTTCTCCCAGACCAGAAATTTGTGGCACCCCGAGTGTTAATTTTAATTTATGTTTATTTATGCGCTGCAAGGCGCGTGAAAGAGCTCGGCACGGTCGGTGTTGATGTTGGTTCTCTCGCAACAATTTTTTGCAAAAAATTAAGTGTTTTCGACCGAAAGTGTATCAAAAGTGCTTCTGAATGTGTTTCGCAGTTGCGTGTGGTGAAATTCGTGCATTTCCGGTTGATTTTCAGTGAAAATTCCGTATCACAAAATTGCAGTTCCTTTTTTTTTTTCTTACGTTTGAAGATGACGGGTTTGCTTTCGCGAGAGTGTCGTTTATTGGATCCGTTTCTTTGCACGGGTGTATTTTTTGTAACCAGCCATGTGTAAGTGTGCTTGTGATTTTCATTGCCTCCCAGGAGGCCGAATCACCGTGTTTGGATGTCACGTTTTTGCCGTGCAGTTCTATCGAGAGTCTCGTCACCGTGTGCGAGTTTGAACACGGTCCGGTTGGAAAATTTGAAGGGGAAAGTGCTGATAATGTGTTCGTCGCAAGTTTTGATGATGATTTGGTGGCCGACGTTTCCGTGGATCAGCGAGTTTACGGTTGGCAAAAGTGCTCGCCTGGTCGGAGATTGTGAGCTTGCCAGTGTCAGAGATTGTGAGCAAGCTGAAGGATGCCTTGCTGGATACGCCCAAGACTGGCGGGCGGTAGCTGGTGGCCGTGAACGGTTCCTGGGGAAAGCACTAGACGTGAACCTCTTCCCAGATGACCATGGCTATGCAAGAAAATTTGTTTTCGTAACAAAGGTAATTGCTTTTAGATATTTTTGCAAACAGTAATAGATAGTAGACATGAAGCCGGGCAAAGGTTTTATCCTAGACAAATGGTAAGTTACAAATTCGCTGTTGTCGCTGTCGTAGTCACCATCGTAGTCGCCGTAGACAGTACCGTTAGTATATTTAAAATTAATCATCAGCCGCTGAAACTATATGAATTATCGCGTATTTCCGTTGTTCATTGCATACCAAGTGAAATTCAGGAACCTAATTTCATTTGAATAGCATGTTTAACCAGGGCTTAAACAATCGTCACGTCGGTCATAGTTTGCTATGATTGTCTGAATAATGCGTAAATCGCAAATCAAAACATTCAACGTCGCGTCAAAGTGGAACTTAATGAACGCCTAAGTACTCTTTCGAAGTTTTAAGTTTTTGGAGTTGAAAGATCGTCGGTTGCAGTGGCTTGTTCACTGAGGAGAAAAACGCGGTCCCAGGTCCTTTCATATTAAAAGTGAATGGTAAGATCACTTGTTTATCGTGTATTTTGTAAAACTTTTCGTTGTCGTCGGTGCCGGGTTTGAATAGATATAACAACTTGAGTAACGGTATAATGTGATATGATGTGCTCGGTGGTCTTAGAGCAACCTTTTTGTGCTTACTGAGCAGTACATCATGAGTCTAATCTCAAGCCCATCCATAGTGGTAAACGTTTTTGCTTTCTGAGCAGAAGACCGTGGGTTCAATCCCAAGCTCCTTCGCGTTATATGATCGTTAGGACATCAATTCAGCATATCGTTCACCAAAACGAATCCTGCTGCAAAATCAACCCTCTTACCCAACATCCCTATGGTTTCTCGTGAAAGTGCAGAGGTGTTCTCAGCTTCCATCACAGCGATTGTCACGTCAACACATTCCTACCCATTCCTTTCTTGACCTGCGTTCAGGCGCGGCTGGCGCTGGTATTGCCTAATTTGAGATCACCAGTTTTTACACATTGAGAATGATTGCTAGTCCCAAGAATTGTTTATTGGTTCTCTGTGTAAATACAGCAGGTCTGGCAATAATAGAGTAGCAACCGTGGGCAGTCAATCATGTTCATGCTCATGCTCAATAGCCTAAACAGTTAAGGCACAGTATTACCACGCTGGGGTTAGAGGTTTTTGTCTTCCCTGTCCATAGATTATAATTATGCTTGTCACACAGTATGCAAATTCATGCATTGGTTGGCATGGAAATCTCTCAATAAATAACTTCGGAAATTCTACAAAGAACACTAAGTTGAGAGTTGGTGTAAGCTCGTATAAGAGCGTCAAAGCCGGGAATGATAAGGTAGCAGGCATTATTCACAAATACAATTTCACCCTTTTGGATTGATGGTGCAGAATTAAATGTAGGTTGGCGGTAAGAATCATTATACAAAATTAAGCAAGTTCTAAGAGAGGGTATAAAGAATGAAAACTGTCTCACAATTTCGTTTTCTATTTTGAGCAACAATTCGTTGCTTGCGATCTTGAGACTGCTTCGAGCTGACGTGATTGCTTATCGCGATGAGTTTTAGCAACACTGCCTCAGAATTATTCTTAACTCGGCTCGTTTTAGGCTCAATAATGCCTGCATTTGTCAAATTACGTCAAACGTTCTTATTTCAAAACGGGGTGTGATCATAATTAATTTTAAAACCAATGATTGAAATTTAATACTTGCCACTCTGCTTACATCCTGACAGATACCAGTGCATTTATTTAAGAGATTTCGGAGACTGCACCATTTCTGCTGTAGTACATTGTGTTGTGTGCTTACTCAGTGCTACTCTATTCGAAACATTTGTTATCCCGAATATTAATTAACCGAACCGTGAGTCAAGTCCGCTACATCAGAAGGGTTTCGCTTTGTAGTTATGCCTTTACCGACTGAGACTAGGGATGTCACAGTTTTATGAGCTCCCAACATGGTAGATCCTACCATAAGTGATACAGAATCAGGTTTTGTCTGTTTCCAATGGAAATAGTTAACATGTTAAACTTATTGCAGCGTAGGTATATAATATCCGCCTTATAGTGCCAGGCAAATAGTTATGGTTATCAAACCCTCCGGACTTGAGAACCTTGCAAAGTACGTTCAAGCTGTTATTAAGAATGCACCATTCCAATTACCTGTGGACTGTGAACCATGTGCTCACCCATTTGTGAATTCCCAAATAACCGTTTCAATTTGTACTGGCTACAACAAATACCACCGATACGTCCTCCACACACCTATGACCAACGGGGCTTCAACAATCAGCAGTGTCAAGACACCCATCCCCTTATAGGAACAAAAATAAAACCAACTAAACCCCCCCTGCCACGGTACACGCTAATTAACACTTACATGCGACTTGAATGGTGGCAGGTTGTGTCCGCACAACGCCCCGCGAGGACCTGGCATGGCAGTCGCACTTGAACGGTCCCCGGCCGAAGAACTCGTCGACCTGCTCGCGAGTGATCGTTGTGCTGGCTTCCTGCAGTTGCACACCGGTATGTGGGTCCACATGCGTCTCCAACGATGTCAGTGGAGGCTTATTGCCACCGCTGCATTTGAATGAGATCTGTACACGGCGAGAGAGCGAGAACGACGGAGAAGCAAACAAACTAATTAGCTACGGAACTAATGAGGTTCAAATATTAGCTTCGGACTTTAACTGGTACCGTACCAGAGACTCGAGAGAAAAATACGGGAAACTCACCTGAAAGGCATGCGACGCTTTGCACTGCAGCACCGCTGGTCGGTTTTTGATCACGTATGTACTTTGGGGCTCCACCAGAAACACCGGAAGCGAACTGGTAGTATCGCTTCCCTCACCGAAACTTTCAATCTGATCGATTGCGTCCCCATCGAATCCATCCGTGTAATCTCCGGAATCCAGACCATGCCCATTAGCGCCATTATCCTTACCATGGCTGTCATTGTCTTCAGGATGATCCAGTTCTTCTTCATAATCATAATCATCGTAGTCGCTCCCGTGACCCAGCAGCGACGGTTTTACATTGGACACCGATCCTTGGCCAATGGTAGCACCACCACCTGGCAGATGCGGGCTTCCACTTTCGTTGTGCTTTTTGGCAAATATCACATCGTCCTCGTCACCGAACTTTGTCGGAAGTCCGTGCGAATCCGAGAAGTATCCAAGTTCAGCAGCATCCTTCTGGTGCTGCTGTCTCAATTGTCGCTCTTTATTCACTTTGGAGCCAATTACCGACGCCAGCGAGAGCGCGATAATAAATAATTGAAACAGCGTAACTTTATTTATGCTCATGTTATCTGCCTTTCCTTGCACGGGTTTCTGGTTCCGAATAGAGAGAATAGAAAGGTCTAAGGTCTGCTTTTGCTCCTGCTGTTTGTTGGTGGAGTTGGTGGCTTCATTCACTCATTGGTCGCGGGGTTACCTCCCACTACCTATGCACGTGTATGTGTACGTGTTCTGGATTGGATCAGACAAAAAAAATCAGGATACACCGTCGTGCGGTGCGCGGTAGAGAAACGAGTTATGTCGTCTATTGTACGGAGTACAATCTCAGTTCACGGATATAACAATGCATCAGAGTGCGGCACACATGGCAGGGGAAAAACCGTCGTAACCGCCTGTAATCGCTGTGTTGCCGGTCTTGTGTGGTCTTGCTGCTTCTGTTGCTGCCGTAGACAGGACTCAGATTTTGTTACGTGGTCCCCCGTACGTCAACGAGGAAGGAACTTGATGGGTTGTCCGTGCCGGCGACGGCTGCGATGCTTTGTCTCCACGAACGGTGGTGTCGATGGTCGATGGTACCCGCTGCTATCAACTTTCCGGTGGTTGCATACGAGCACAGCTTTCCTGTGGGTTATAGAATAATGGAAATTAAATCAATTGACATGTGTGTGGCAGCATGTTTGGATAGTTTTTTTTGTGAGTGTTCATTTTGTTTTCTGGGGTCGTTCGGTGATGACGATGATGCTGGTGATACAATGTATGGTAACATCAAATGTTCTTGCCCATTGCAAAATAAAAACAAAGAATAAAATGTGTCGCAGTCAATATTGCTAGTGGGATACTTAGGTTCACTATTTTGAGTGTATGCTATGCATTTATGCATTTACGTCAACGTAGATAGTGCAAGATACGAAGCTTAAGTTATCGTTTGATGTTCGCCCTGAACAGATCGATGGATTGCTGTTGTTTGATTACTGTTGGGATCTCGTTGTACAGTTTACCACCATGGTAACCAAACCGTTTCTTTTTCCGAGTTCTGTATGATGATGATGATGATGATGGTCCCACCTCTTACCCCTACAAAGGTTTGAGCTGGACGATTTATCTTTAAGATAATTATATATGACATTTTAACCAGGTTGGCAAACAAAATCGAACTGGTTTCAGTTACAGATATAAATTCCCTCTAGAGTTTACAGTTGCTTCACAGCGATATAAATGTGGAAAAGCTCAGGCGTCCACTTCTTAGTTCGCCTTTTTGTCCACCTAAAATATTCATAGGTATTACAAGCAAACAAGAGTTAATGAACAATCAACAAAGCATCCTATTACACTAGCAACCCCGCAATCTGATGCTATCATAATTTTCAGCAATGTCAGTAATGCTCACGAACCCCCGACATTTGCCAAAAAACTTACTACTAACTCAAGGTATCTTACAAATAAGCTTCAAAATTACATGTTTTATCAAATGTTAAAATCAGTCCTCTGTATCCATAATACGCGCGTGACGCTTAAACCTTTGAAGACTACTTTTTTTTTTTAATTAATCTACTATTAAATCAAACATTAAAAATCCATCATCACCCTCGTGGCGAACAGAAATAGTTTTTGCAGTGCTACCATAATTATTAAAAAGTCGTTATGACAGCCAGTGCTGCAAAATTTCGACAATACACGGTGATACTCAAAATTCTGCTTTGGTCACTCGTTTGAGCTAACAGTCATCGTCAAGGCAAACCATGTCAATTGTCAGTAGCATTTTTGTCAGTGACCAACATGTGCTGATTTGTTTATTAGCTAAATTTAAAATGAAATTAAATGGCAAGAGCAAAACAATTATATGGAGCCATTAAAGTGAATAACCATCTACTTCCTGAACTGCTTGGATAACAATAATGTGACTCAGAATGCAAGAAATTACACTTTCTGTTACCAGGTGAATCTTTGTCATTGACGAAAAAATGAATGAGATTTTGACAAAGATTTTTTTGAGGATCAACTCTATCATTGACTATGTGAAAAACAATTTTGTCAATATCGCGCAAAAGTCTGTCAATGACAATGACAAATCTCAGCACTGATGACAGCTATCCATATAAAATAATCCGTTATAGATACTTTCGTCAAGATACATAATTTGGCAATTCATAAAAAAAAATCACTGGATAACGGTTCAAAAGACAGTTTTAACGTGTGAAATGCAGTGTCTTTTAAATTCTGTAAGTGTTGCTAAACGTTTGATATGTCTAGGCATCGAATTGAAAACATTTATTCCTTTATAATATAATGAATTTTGTGAAGCACAAGTCAAGAAATGTGGTGTTCTTATTTCAACCGCGTTTCTAGTATAATATCTATGAAAGTCACTGCGTCTTTCAATTCGATCACACAAATATCGAGGTAGCAAACCGCTAACTACTTTAAAAATGAACACCATAGTCAAATATACAATTCTTTGCTTCACCGACAACCATTGTAAGGCGTCTAACATCAAAGTTGAGGAAGTGAATCTATTACATCTCAAAATCAAACGCATTATTTTATTCTGCAAGCGCTGTAATCTCGATATTTGTGTTTCATTGGCCAGAAATAAAATGGAAGGGCAAAAGTCTAGATGAGGAGAGATGATTGATTTGAATAGCTGTATTTTACTGGCAATAGTTAAATCGTTTTTCAGTCGACATAGAATTCCATACTTCTTGGCAATTTTCTTGATGACATTGTCAATGTGAGAGTTGAACTTAAGTGTGTCATCAATAATCACGCCAAGATATTTAATCTCCCGAACGCGATCAATAGTCTCATCATCAATTACAACAGAGACGGTCTCATTTACTCGATTCCGCGAAATTACCATAAATTTAGTTTTACTTGTATTCAATTTTAACTGCTTATACTTCAAACATCTACTTAGAGAACGCAAATCTTCATTCGAGTGTAAAACGGCATCATCTAAATCCTTGGCTGCAATGAATAACACAGTATCATCCGCATAAAGATTAATTTTTCAAAATCATAAATCACGTCGCAAGTCATTAATATACATAATAAATAACAGGGGCCCTAATACACTTCCCTGGGGCACTCCAAGGGTATTTCCCACGGGACTGGAAACAGAATCATTAAAAACAGTCCGTTGAGTTCTGTCAAATAAATAGCTTTCAAACCATTTATTTGCAGTACTCGTAATTCCAAAGCGCTTGATTGATCTTAACAATTAATCTTTAAGATCAAAAAAAAAACATCAACAATCGTATCTTTACACTACAAGGTATTTTTCCACTTCGCTAATGCCAAATTCAACGCGGTTTCACAAGAATGACCTTCCCGATATCCCGATTGTTCTGGTATCAACAAACTATTACTACTTAAATACTCAAACAGCTGACTTTTAACAACAAGTTCTAAAATTTTCTCTAATGTGTGCAACATATTGATGGGACGAAACTCTTCGGCTTTAATCGTTCCAGCAACTTTGCAACATATTTCTTTTCGAGTTTTCTTTATCGATTGTGAATACTTATTACGCGCCATTGTGTACCTAGTCCAATGATTGTCATTATTAGATCTACAAAACTTTTTGTACCATTTATCCCTTTTCCGTTTAAGACGAAAAAGATCCTAATTGTACCAGCTGTTCGAGTTTTTCAAAGAAACAAACTTTTGCTCAACTAGTTGATTGGTACACGTTTTCAAAGCGTTATTAAGAACAGCTGTAGATTCATCTAAGTTACCGGCCGCGAATGGAAAATCCAGGCTTCTCTCAACAAGATTCGAAACAGCTTGCTTCGAATATTTCCTCCAGCACTTCAATTTAAAAAAATTATCGTTATCGTTAACATGGTCACTAAAGTCTCATGATCGGTTATTTTCAAATCAGTATCCGTAACTGAACAAATGGTATCAAAATTGGAATAAACGTGGCCAATTAAAGTTCTACTGTGCCTGGAAATACGCGTATACTCATTTACCGTTTGCTTTAAATTAAAAAACTCAGCTAAACGCTTCAAATGATTCGAATTATGGTTATCACGCCAATTAATATTAAAATCACCAGCCAATATATTTTATTTACTAGAATCAAGGAATGTCTCGAGCCAGTTCTCTTAAACTTCAACAAAACGCTGGTCACTAGAACTGGGAGAATGATACAAAACACCATAATTACCCATCTTCATGCCACGTACAACTGTAATGCCCAAGAACCAGTTGCCATCAATAACTTCGTTGGTACGAAGGTTGAATTGAACTGATTCTTTGACATAAATAGCAACACCGCCTGTGTCTAGAATGTGATAAACAAGCAGCAACAATATATCCTGGAATAGTATACTGATCAAAATCTTCAGTTTCTACTATATGAGTTTCAGATAAGAAAACTAAAAGAGGACGTTTTTCCTCAACAATCTTACGTAATGTTACGTAGTTTGTTGACAACCCTGCAATATTCAAATACAAAAAATCGAATTGATTCACATTCCTGGAAATTAGCTGCTATTTATTGAAACGCAAGCTGCTTTTCTTCTGATCAAAAAGTATTTTATAGAGCAAACATTCCGAGCTAAAAGCGGCATGGTTGACGTCCAAGTTCATTTTTCGTTCTTTATTCGTTTTCAAACAATTAATACATTTCAATACAGTTGACGTACACTCTGACGTTTTGTGTTGTTGGCTGCACCTAGAGCATCCATCACAATTTTTGCAATCCATGCTCTTGTGCCCAAATTATCCACATTTGAAGCATCTCAACACATTAATCGCGGGAACTATCGAGCATCGATCAAACCCTACATTTACTTTTTTCACACATAACAAACATTTATAAGTATCGACATCGACTTCAATTACAACACTAAACTTGTTATAAGTGAAGCGTGGATTTTCAAACATGTTCACTACTTTAACATCATTTATAGCGAGTCTTCATTTTGACTTTTTAAGTAGTCAAATGAAGACATCGGAGGAAAACTGATCGCTCATGCCCACTATTTTCAATCTTGGCACCGAAGTGGGAACAACAGCACTATATTTTTCACCCAGATTGCTTTCAATACCATTTTTTACATCACTAACGTTTGCTCCTGTTGCACACTCAACAATAATGGAGCCATCTTTACCATTCCTAAAATTACTGATTTTGTGTGTTTTTGGATCCAACTGAGTTTTCAAAAACTTGCGAGTATCTTCGCAAGGTTGTTTGGACTCTTTCGGTTTAATCACAATGACCGGACGAGTCTTACGATTACTCTGTTTGTTACTGTTACTGTTAATGTTACTGTTACTGTTAATGTTACTGTTACTGTTAATGTTACTGTTACTGTTAATGTTACTGTTACTGTTAATGTTACTGTTACTGTTACTAATATTTTTTACTTTTACTTGCATGACTAGATCTTTTTACAACATCCGCAAAACTCGCATTTTCTTGAAAAACATCATCAGTCGAATCGTTGTCACTATTTTGAAATTTACGTTTTTTGCGTCTGGGATTTCGGTCCGATTCAGGATGAACTACCCTAGATGCGCCATTCCATGCAGCTAATTTTTTTCCGTACTAATTTCAAAACATGAACTAGTCATCGTATTCCATTTCTCACTAATTAATTTTTCAAAGCATCTTA